CCTTATTATGTGTTATCAATCTTACCTAGACATTTTGATAGTAAAGAGCAAATATTTTTAAATTCTGTATTTCCTTCCAAAGGAGAGTCATTCCCGCTTTCTTGTCGTGAATATAACATCTCAGAGCCCTGAGTTTTGTCGTGTGATGCAAGAAAGCCTATCACGCGATCAATGGAAGAAAGGACCTCCTCATTTTGTCCATGCCAAATTTGGTCGACGGTTTCTAACAGTTGTCCGGTGTTCTGAAAATGGTGTAATGAAACATAACTGCTCAGTCTGCAGCTTAATTTGAAGAGAGAGGTACAGAGACTATTTATTCACACAGTTGGATTAATGAAGAATATAATCATTTCACGAATTACACATTTTAAGTTATTGTTTTTCTTTTTATCAAGAGCTTATCACAGTGACTGTCAGTCACCATCATCAGGGAGTAAATGACTAGGGAGCTAATGAAACTGTTCTCTCACAAATTACACAATTCTTAAAAACGTAAGTACATCATCACCATCCCCGCCAATTCTTTGCCCTTGGGCGGAATGGGTGCAGCAACATATTTAGACCACAGTTGTTTCTTTCTCATTATTAAAAGGATCCCACTAGTTTGCTAACCGGTATCAGTCATGATGGTCTAAGAGTAAGTTATATTAAATGATTTGGTCTGCCGCTGTTAGCCTCTCCTCCAGGTGGTGTCCAAATGCACACTGAGTATAAATACAGTAGCATGACATGCATATACAATGTGCTTACCTCTTTGTTGTTTTTTTTCAGTCTGGTTTCCATGTCCTTCAGCTGTTGATTCCATGCAGCTAGGGAGACTAAAGCAGCCTGATAACTGTTGGATAGCTCCTGACACTGTGCATGTTTGGCCTCCAGATCGTACTTGCTTTTTATGACACGCTCTTTTTCTTTTTCTAACTGATAGAGTTTTTCTTGCATATCTTGTGTCTTCTCTTGAAGACTGTCAATTCTTTGTGATTTTTGATGCAGTGTGTTGGTCATATCTTGTATTTCTTTGTTTCTCTCCGCCATCTTCTTCTCCATTCCTGATAGCTGTTTATGAATTTCTGACTCATCCGCTTCCTTCTTTTGTAGTTCTGCACTGCTGATTTGCACTTGTTCTTGTAGCTGGCTGATAAGTTTTTTCATTTGATGGTTTGCTTCTGTAATTTCTTCGATTCTTTCCTCTTTCTTCTCAATCTCTTTCTTCATCTCTGAGAGGATTAAATGCATTTTATCTATTTCTGCCACCTTTTCCTTTAGTTCGCCAGCATGTCTCTTTTCAAGTTCAGCACAGCTAGTTTGTAATTGCTCTTGTGGACGACAGATAAGTTTTTCTTTCTGATGTTCTGTTTGAAAAAATTCCTTAATTATCTCACTCTTCTCCTCAATCTCGTTTTTCATCTCCAAGATAGTACCATGCATGTCACCCATTTTGACATCCTTTTCCCTTACAGCACATTCATACCGCCTTATAACCTTTTCCAGACATTTGACGATGGTTAAAGCTGTTTGATCTTTTGGATCACGTGCAATTGCTTTGTCCCTGCATGAATGAATACTTGCATCAGCTCCTCGTTCAAGCAATAGCCTTTCATATAGAGGAAGGGTAGCTAAACGAGAGCTTATCTGCGTGTCCTTGTTTACAAACCAATGATCCAGCGCCCGGTGAAGATCGTCATCAGTGAATAATCTTATCGTGACCACTCTGCTGCCTTCACGTAAGCCAGAGCTAGGATGCCCCAATAATATAGTAAAATCTGCCTCTTCAAAGAGAATGATTAAAAGGCTTGATGATATTTCTAATGGTTTAATACAAAAGCGCACTGATAAAATTCTAAAGAATAAATCTAAATTTATAGATCAACATAACCCAGTAAGATATATTAACCTATTCAAGAGGTAACTGTATAGCAAATAGTCCATAAATCTATGCGCCCAGATCTGCGCGTCGTTCAATTCATATCTAACAACATGTATGTTATATGTACAGTGTATGAGCGCAATTACAATAATGCTGCATATAAATGAAGATAAGGGGAGTGTAGTAACCTAAATCTATGAAGTATATTACTTAAATGTTGAAGGATCTCACCTAACAGTTAGGTCATTGCGTAAAAGTAAAGTTTATGGTATTGTAATCCTTTATTATCATCCAGTTACTGATGAAAATGAGGTTTTTCCTGCATGTACAAAGGTACAGACTTGATATTTAATATGGAGTATTTGAGTTTCAAAGGTATGCCTAGGTAAAAAACGAGTTCTTTTTTTTAATCACATCTAATATGAGATATGTAAATGGAGAAGTGTGAAGTAAAGCGTGTCGCTACCAATTAACTGACTACTATGTCTGTTGCACTGCTGCATTGTGTAATATGCAGTGTTCTCATCGGGTAGTGCTCCTTTGGTCTGGTCAAAGCTTGGCTATGGCAAAGCATGGTTCTGTTAAAAAAAGTATCCATATGTCGGCAACTGCTGCATAGAAAAATTTGAAATTTTGCATGCAAGCGGTCGGTTTTGCAGGGCGTTAAGTGACTTAAGCAGTGTATTACAAATTTGCTAATCTGTGCCAGAATGGCGCGAAAAAGACGCACATTACCAAACAGATTATTGCGGAAAGGTCTGCTCAGTTTTATAGAGCTATGCCTAAACTGATGCACCTGCACAGAGATCACAACTAATGTATTAAAATCCAACCACCAGGGTACAGGACCCACTATCCTTCCGGATATGCTTAACAAAAAGCAAGGCCCTTAGCGAACACCAAACTGGATTTAGCAGGTTAGAATACCAGACGACCTCTGAGGAAGCCACTGTAAACAACAAAACATCGGCGTCTGTATGCTGACTTGGGGACTGGGTAGAACACTGAAACTGCTTGGCTTTCTCTATTGAGGTCAGATTTCACCTGTACCCCTCAAATTGACAAAACATAGTTTTCTAACATTCGAAGAGGCCTACGCCGAAGCGTGTGCTGCGTCTAAAGTGACTAAGGTTACTGACAGCGTCAGTATCTAGAGTGGATACCACATTGGTGCCAAAACACCAATGGTAACCATCGATGAAAACCTGAACCATATCAAATAAAAGAAAAAAAATGGGAACCAATTGACTATCATTTGATAGGGGGCATTTAAGGAACAATTTTAGATTGCACGATCAGATTGCCAATTCACACAGGGCACTTTTTTACGTTTTTACCGATGCCTGATATGTTATTCAGATTAAACTCTAACAACCTATCCCAAAGAATGCCTTGCCGCTTGAGAGCCCTGGTAGCAACCAGATGAGGTCAGGCGTAACAGCGACTGTTGCTGTGATTAGACACTGATATGAGTGTATTTTGTGGGGTGTATAACTCTTTCACAGATGATAATTTGAAAAACTCTAGGACCCCATTTTCAGAGATTAGATCGATCTACTTTAGATCGACCTAACTCCCTGGGGGTTCATGCTAAATATCTGTCAGCCGAGCGGACACGAAAGTTAATTAGTCCCTTACAGCTTGTAGTAGGCGGGACGGACAATAAAGCCGGATTATCTGACAGTAATCTAGTGTGACTCCCCGCGGGGATAGATCGATCTAAAAGCTCTGGGAATGCGCCCTAGGTTTTTAGAGTTCAATTGGGAATATTATTCCAGGCATCGGTCCAAAATTGTCCAATTTGGTACAGTTTTGATGTAGGGCATGTAGGCAGTTGATTCGGCGAGTAATCCTCGGAGTAATCCTCCGTACTGTGAGATGGTAGCTGAGTATTTGAGACAAGTCGTCTTATACCCCGTTCACACTACAATTTGAAATATCCGAATTTGTGCAATGGGAATTACGAGTGAAATTCCAATTTGGTTTTCTGGCACACAGCAAATGGAAACCGAATCGTGCACTGAAAAATCCAGGTGGAGGTTCCGGTTTGAAGAATCGTGCATGCGCAGAATTCACGAAAACAAAAATATGTCCCCAATCATTGCTCTTCTGGCACTCTGGTTTTTTTTCTCGCGTGTTTGTTTTTGGAACATCAAATTTAACCCAAAGTCGTCGAAGGAAGATTCAAGTAAGAAGAGGAAGAATTTGACGGATAGAAGAAGGAGACTAGCCGGGTTTCGAAGGAGAGTTAGGGTGTTGCTTTTCTTTCCCGCGCGGTATTTAGGTAGCTTCATTTTCTGAACGGTTTTGGATAAGACGTACCTTGGCCATTATGGGAAAACTGGTGAGGTTTCCAAAAAGATTCATTTTCTTGCTAAATTAAGGGCTTAACCCACTGAGACAGCTTTAATTATTTTTGTTCTTGAGTCATGAGCCCTTAATTACAGATTTTGGGCTTCGTTCACATGGAAAGTCTATTTTCTAAAAATCTATTTTCTATTCGCGGTATATCTTGTGATCACGGTCTGTGCCCTGAATATCCCGCGGCGTAATTTCTGGCAGCGCGAGCCAGTTACTTCCAAAGCTGTAATTAATTCTCGGCTGTGCTTGGAGGAGATTCTGATACCTTGACGCATGCGCAGTTGGGAGTTAAAAAGTTAATGGCGGTCGCGGTTGCTTTGAAAAATGTGTTTGTCGATTTTGTGCAACAACAAGACGAAGAAGATGAAGAAGCTATACAGACGACATATACGAGTGCAACCGTCATGATCCGACGGCAAGCGATGCGGCAACGGAGGATGAGATTTTATAGAATGCGAGCACAGCCGAGAATTAATTACAGCTTTGTATAAGTAACTGGCTCGTGATGCCAGTAAAAGATTAGGCGGTTTTTCTTTCATGTACGTCCGCCATATTTAGTTCTCCGTATTTGTAAAGCCTGGCTCAACTCGTTGTGAATGCGATCTAAGTAATATGTTTAACCAAGGAGTTATAACAGAAGGAGATTAAGCGCGTGGGGGCGGAGCCCGTTTTACGGTCTCTCATTGGTCGGAATGAATAGAACCCAGAGAACAATGGGTGCCTATCTCTGTTACCCTCTCATTTAAATCTCGTTTGTCAGAATAGGTGCCTTCGTCTAGCATTTCGAGAGGACACAAACAGAAACGTACTCAAAAGTTTGTTAAAATGAGAGAAGTACAGAGTGCAGAGGATATAACGTTGGATAAGGTTATCAAAAAACAGGTAAGTGCTTTTAAATGCATAACTACTCGAAATATGAATATAAATTGCAACTTTTATGACGTAGGGTCTCACTGTGTAAGTATCCAGCTCCACGTCGATCTTGCGAGGTGGTGTGTGGAGAATAAATATTGCACGAAAAATATTTCCCACTCATAACAAGTGCTTATAAATATAGTATCAGATGAAGAAATTTTGGTCTTTATACAGTTGCAATTGTTAAGTAATTTGTGGCAACAGCATAGAATAAAACTTTCAGTGCACTTTCAGTAGCCGAATAACAAGCAGATGCATAAGCCGCCATCTTGTTTATGTTTCGAAAAAAAATCACTCCAAAAGACATTTTCCTCCTACTTTTTGATACTTGTGTCACATGACAGTCATAAAATTTAAGTAATTGGTGTGTGTGTGCAATACATTTTCTTGATGAGTATTGTTGGTTTTTTCGATTTTATATGTATTCTAGCTTGAATACGACAAGGGCCAATTTTCACGAGTCCAGATCAAAAACTTACACTTGTTACGGCCAAAAGCCCGAACGTTTTTGCACTTTTCAAATGCGTGATTGGTGTGTTTAGATTCTTGAACATCTTGGTTCTGGCTTGGTATATATCGCATGGGTATTGCTTGAAATATTTCTTGAAAAAAAAACCTGTTTTGTTCAGAATACCAATTTTTACTTTAGTGTTATGGGTAAATGTACCATTTTTGCCTGTACCTTTTCGTGTTTAAAACTAAAAAAACTTATCATGACAGTTGGTCATCATTTTTCTTCTCACCAAGGTGGGTGGCTTTGGAGTGGTAACTTTGTTGTTAGATTAAGGTGCTCAGTTATTTTGACCGGAAAAATTTTGGCTCCACCCAGCATTTTTCATCATGGCGGTCTAACAGGAAGTTTGACTTCACAGTGTCTTTGATATAGTTATTTTAAACATATTTAGTCTTCTTTTTACATATATATGTTTAAATTCATATTAAACATTTGAAAAAAGAACACACATGAATCCTGGTGCTTCTTAATTTGAAGTCTTAAGGTTTTAAGTTCACCTAGGCTCCACCAATTACTTTACCTGTTATCTCACTACACATCTCCCTTTGAGTCAAGGTGTGTAAGACACACCTTATTGTGTAAGACACCTCTATATTTAAGGGGTACTTGCTTCTCTACTTTAATTATACTTCACTACTTTGGCATGTTAGGTGGTAAGCTTGGATGTTTCAGTTCATTTTAAGAAAGAAGCTTTGCCTTGGTGGTTACAAAAGAATAGAACTCTATTAAGGTTTATTCATTGAAAGTAAATATTTCATCTTGCAGTGCTGAAACAGAAATTCTCTCAAAATAGATAATGAAGCTGACATGCATATCTTAACACTACCCATTTTTTTCTTCTATTATAGATATGGGAGAAGGCTGCATTGAATATATGAATTATGGTCAGGCTGGAAAAAAATTAAAAAATGTCATTGAAAAAAGGAGGTCAGTGTGTCCGGAGTAAGTTACTTTTGTCATAATGCCTACGATGCATTAAACATTCACTAACAACAGTACCCTTTTTAATTTTTTTTTTCAAAATACAACAACCTTGGGCATTTTCCTTTTAGCAACCAGCCTCTCTGAAATCCCCTTTTTGTCCTATCAGAAGAGTAAGAACTAGGGCGGATTTAAATAATTTCTTGTAATAAGTACAATTTCTTTCAATTTCTTGGGGTAATTAGCTTGTGATCATGAATCTTGATGTTCTATATAAATTTAGTTGTAAATTGTTCATTTATGTGGTGAACATTATTTCAGTCAAGTCATATCATGACACATTAAACTTCACTGCGTAATTCCATAATGTCTACATGGATACTACTAGTTCATAATGCTATTATTATGTTTTTTTTTTCTAACCTACAGGTTTCTCTCTTTTCTAAGTGGCATGACATTGGCAAGGCAGAAGAAAAGGCCCTGAAGAAATTCTCACTTGAGTTGTCCTTTTTGGAGAAGAAACTGGATAAGACTGGCCAACAGAGATTACATTAAATTAATAGTGCTCCTTCATGACATTTTAAAATATTTTCAGTCACCTGACTCTATACATTTCAAAAGTGGACATAAATTTTATGTTACTGTCACATGGAAAAAAATCAAAACCTATATATAATTTGTTAAGTGCCATGGTATAACAGTCTACCTGATTGCCAGTAAAATTTGGACTGTTTCAGTGAAATTTCTTTAAAGCAGTCATTTACTGGCCCAGTTAATTTTTTCAGCTATAACATGTACTCCAGTTCATTTTATAAATGTTCTTACTAAGTGTTGTCTTGATCTATAACCTTTTGAAAATCCCATGTTTTTTATCCTATTTGCAGGAATTAGCCATTTTACTTCTAGGATTTTTTTCAATGGCCCATTAGATTCTCAGACCTTGCTGGCCTGTGAGTGGAATAGTATCTGGCACAGACTGGTATCAGCAAGTCAGATAAAAAAGAATATAATTATTTCTATTTGCACGGTTGAAAGAAATGCCAACATAGACTGCATAAGACTGGAAAACTGTAGCAACTTAATCATTCTTATGACTTCATTATGACGGCTTATGTGTAAAATTTTGTTTTTGTTCTTCTATTGATATAATAAAATGGTTTTACTCACAGATGCTACTATCATGATGCTTGAGTATAGAGTTGACTTATAAGATATTTTAAGTAAATATAGTAAATAATAGTTTGAAATTCAAAATTCTCATCTTTATTTGTTTCACTTTAAAGAGCTCAGTTAAAACTAAAATTTCTGATATATTTTGTACATAAATATATTTATGAATGAATAAAAATTATTCTTAATGTTTAGCACTGTGCACTTGTTTACCGACAAATATGAACAGTGTAAGTATGTGTCAAAATAATCCTGAAAAAAGGGAGATTTCCAAGATAAAGAAATTTATAACGAGTATTCAGTAAACTGACATGTCGTGGCATTGCCTCAACCTTTGATTAAAATTTCACTTTAATGCATTATGATATTAAAATTATACCGAGTGAGAGAAAAAATACTTAAAGAAATTTAAAACCAGTCACAAAGCTTAGGCATTGTCACAATGTATATGTTTATGGGACCCAAGGGCAGGAGGGTCCAAACGTTTATGTATTCATATAATGTCTTTTGGCAGTGAGGACAGACGTTCACTTGAATGTCATTTTCACAAACCACAGTTGGGACGTTTTCTTTTGACTTCTCCTTGGTGATTTTTCACTGGGTTGTGCAAAAAAAAAGCCATCTATCACCGACTCAAAAAAACTCATGGTGACCATCCTCAGTCACCACCTTATAATCGCTTTCTATGATATCGTTCCCTTCCAGCACATCGTCCAAATAATTATTTGTGAAAAAAATCGTCAGCATACAGCGCCGCTCTGACACTACTGATCTCGAATTCTAACGCGAAATAACGCATATGAAATTAATCTCTAAGCTGAGGAGAGCGACGCAGACGAAACCTTGAGACAGGAGGCCCCCCGTAGCTAGCTCCGCCCACCGTAACAGACATCGGACAAAAGAGAGGCTTGCGTGTAATCTCCTTCTGTTATAACTCCTTGGTTTAACACATAAAGATATAGTAGAGTAATTAAAGATGCATACAAAGTCAACTTTTGTCACAAAAACCAACCAAATGCCACCATATAGTTTCAAGTAGTATAACTAAGAGAATTTCCAAAAGGCATTGTTTAATTTTACCCGAAAATGATGTATGAACGGATTTTTCTTCTGGCATTCTAATCTGTATGTCAATGGGGCAGGAAAGTAGGTCACGAAAGTAGGTTAAATTTACAACCAAAATTTAAAGAAAGGAGCAGTCTAAAGGTATTTTATGGCTGATCTAGTGATCTAATCAGTTTATCCCTTGGCACGTCGAATTTATTTGGGTCATATAAGAATCTAGAGAAGTGGTTTACATGTGTTACTGCGAATCCACGCTCCACCAATGCTCGGTTCGTATGTACCTTTAAAGAAACTGACGGAGCGCTGATAAAAATTCAGCGCGCACATGTAGGCCTAACCTGTACGTTTTGATAGTAGGACTACATGTCATTTGCTTTGTCAATTTATACAAGTGTTTTAGTACTGGGCAATGTGTAGGCCGGGTCAGACACATAGCCTACTAGTAGAGAGAAAGTGTGTTACGTGCACCTAGTGATATATTAATAGGGTGTGTTTTTTATGCGTAGATGCCACGTTATTATGGTTTGCAAAGTCAAAGTCAAGTTGATATCAAGACAGGGCAAGATTATTCACAACGGCGTGTAAGTTAACACTTCATATATAGTTTGTTGAAACTATTAGGTTTATAAATTATGTAAGTCAATTTAAGGATGTTTTAAGAAATGTAATACCCAGTAAGTTTAAGTCTTATGCCAGTACATGACAAAGCAATCCTTGGGTACCTGTAGACAGTAATGATCGAACTTATTTTATAATACCTTTATTACGGATACAGTGTTTATATCATTTATCTATTTTTTTATTAATTATTTCCGACGTGCTTCTTATGAATAATGAATTCAATTTAAGAATAAAAAATCGTTTGGTTTATCGGACTGGACTGCACGAAAAATGTACCATGATCAATATACAATTTTAACTGAAATAAGGAAAAAGGTTCATGTAGACCTACCTGCACTGTATTTACTAGTACCCTGAACACCGAATAAATCCCAATCCTCTTTTACAAGTATATCAAAGTGCTCTGGTGGTACTGGATCATCCGTATTGCTCCATTTCATGTTAAATTCGACAGGAACATCATGCTTCTCTCTCCATCTATTAAATGAGGCTAGCATATCTTCCCGCCTTTCTCTTTTAGTTCCAAAAACACGTCCGAAGACCACCGACGTTAATGTTCTAGCTTTAGAAACATTACTGACCACCAGAACATTAACAGGTAGTCTATCATTATCTGACATCTTGGCGTATTTCAAAAATAAAATATCCACCGACTTTGGTCTATGTTCTAACTGCACAAAATGGAAAGACGACGCGCACTTCTGGAAATTCCCAGCGTCATATACGCGCATGCGCAGAGAAGAAGTTTATAATGAGCCTCCATGGGTCAACCAAGGTGAATATCGCTCGACACTGATCGAACATTTGATGACGGTCGAATTTCAATAGTACACTAAGGACTCACAATGAGTCCTATCGACTGATCTATTTTGATATCGACTGAAGCTTTTTAGAAGTTTATATATTTGAAAGAGTCATTCTTTTACCCTCATTTGGTGCCTCTGATATAACCTTTAAAATCAAAAAATCAGTTTTGTGAAAAATCATCGGTCCGTGGCCTGAATACCCCGCGGCATAACTACTGGCAGCCCGAGCCAGTTACTCCCTGCGCTGCCAGTAATTACGCCGCGGGATATTCAGGGCACAGACCGTGATCACAAGATACCGCGAATAGAAAATAGATTTTTAGAAAATAGACTTTCCATGTGAACGGTCCCTTATGGAGATCGTGCTTTTATAATCTACGCCCCAAAAGTGGAATGCCCTACCAAATTTTATTAGAAAAACAGAAGACTTTGACCAATTCAAATCTCTTTTAAAGACCCACATTTTTAATTCTGTCTATATCTCTTAGATTATATATATATATATATATATATATATATATATATATATATATATATCTTTTTTTTAAAATAAGATTGATTTTTAGTAGTGTAAATTTGAAATGGTTTCCCATGAGAGTTTATGATTAAAATATTGTAGTGATTTTAGTATGTGAGCCATTATTGAAAGGCGCCTTGAGAAAGAATGTACCTGTAAGGCGCCATATAAGAATCTTATTATTATTATTATTATTATTATTATTATTATTATTGTATCGGCCACGAAGACCATAGGGGCGTTAGTATATCTATATACCCACAATTCATACAGTATCTGTATTTAAAATCATTATTTGATGCAGATGGACGTATCGAAATAGATAACCAGATCGAATACATTTATCAAACATATATGGGGTGCAGTATTGGTTACAAAAACCGCTGCGTCCTACATTAATTATATTGTCCACTCCACGCAACATTAATAACGATGCGCGCGTTATACGTCACAGGTCTTGCGTAACTACCCACGTGCTACGATTTTTCCCTTGGGGGGCAACAAGCGGCCATTTTGTACAGGAGCAATGCATAGATGGGTGAAAACGATACGTTGTTTTTAACCGAAACGATGTCCCAGGGACGAAACTGCCAACACCAAAAGTAAAGGAGAATACCAACGTTGTTTTGAAACGATGTGGTTAGCCTGTCAGTGGCGAGTTGGGGAGAAAAGAGCAGCACTGATAGCAAGGTACTGTATACACGTGAACCGGCAAAGTTAATGATAATTTCATGTTGCAAAAGCAAAATTAAATCAGTTAGTTATTTTCCAAACGATATTATTTGAATAGCAGA